ATGGAATTCCCCCCTCCAATCTACCCCCCCCCCCCCCCCTATATTTACCTTTCGGCAAATGCTCCTTCCCCTCCGCCCAACCTTGTGCTTTGAATTGTGCTCACAATTGGTGAGCACTCATTGGTCAGCGTGGTCAGAAGAGATTATAGCCTGACTGCGCTGACCAATGAGTGCTTTCCGTTTGCGAGCAAAATTCAAAATCCAGACTGCAGGGTTGTGCTAGACGGTGGCGAGGAAGAACGTTCACCGACAGTGGGGAGGTTTGGGGTTAAGGGGGCCAGATTGGAGGGGGTAATTCCATTTTCCAAGATTCACCTGGGAAAGTGAAGTTACCCTTTAAAACCCAACTTCAGACAAAATTTGAATTGTGAAGAGAGTGGAAAAGGGTTAGAAGTCTATTGTTGAGATGTTTTATTCATTACCAAAATGACTGAATATGAGAATATTGCCAGGAAACTAAACTAAAACAAGATATTGTGAAAATCCTGAATACACAGTGCAGAACTTGAAGAATTAACTTCAGCGGGTACTCTTTATTTTAAACAGCAACCCTTCATGTCTCACTGAGCTTGAAAAATATGTACTCACCAGCTGCTGGTTCTCATTTTCTCTTTATACTCCACATTCCCCCCCCACGTCCTTTTGCATATGTGTGTCTAATTCGTAATACGCACTTCATCTGATTCCATCTTCCTGATCACTTTAGCTGTCCCACTGATGACAGGCATGCCATATCTCACACATGTGCAGCGTACTATAGGGAATCACAAAGTGAACCTGCACAGATGACATGTACAGCAGATTCTAATACCAGAACATTAAAGGGATGTGTCTGGGGTCTGCCTTCAGCTATGGTGACTTAATGAGAAGACAAGGCATGTGGCACTGCTGGCTAGGCAAAAATGTCAAATCTGGGGTTTCTTATTTAATAATAAATGTGTTTTACGTTAATTTGACTAATTATTTTGCATCGGGGGATGGGTTGTAACCTATGAAACGCTCCCCTATTATTAGAAAATATTCCAAAGTGACACCCCAAAATTGTGCCTAGCCCAACTAAGGTGGTAACTGAAAATGTTCTTCATATGCTTCAGTCTCTGGCTATGAGTCAATTAGGTGAAGATATCGTCAATCATAAAGATGAAAGGCATCGGTGAGCCAAGCCACTGCCAACACTTCCAAACTGATGCAATTGGAAGGATCAGGAACCTTTAGACTCACGTTTAATATCCTTGAAAGATTTGTCTCCCAGCATTCGGTCTCCTGTATTACAGTGATAACAGACTGCATGTGTTTTTTTCACAGGACATACGTCCTACTTGTTGCTGGCTGAAATATTTTGTTCACAGGCTTTTTTCAAATATGAAAACAGTGGAATGGGCCTGGACAGTGTGCATCAGCACAGAAGGTGAAAGTTTCCTCTGGGAGAGCCTGTGATGGGATGATTTACAGGCCGGAGATGGGAGACGGCCAAAGCATCGTGACGCCATAACACAAAGTGCTCAAACAAGGACCTTTTATATACATTCATCAGCTTGTATTTTCATAAAAGCTAGTGATTCAAATAAAAATAGCCTTTTCAACTGATATTATTTATTATCAGTATTTATAACAGGGCCAATTTAGAGAGGAGACAAATAACCTTCTAGCCTGTCTTTGGAGTGTGGGAGGAAACCCACACAACCAGAGAGAGAACATGCAAACTCCTTGCTGATAGTGGCTTGACCGGGATTTGAACTAGGGACCCCCAGTGCTGGGCAGAAGTACTAACCACTATGCCACTGTGCTGCCCCTATCATGGTAAAGCTTATATGAATTTTTTGTGATAGGGTTTACTGTTGCTTTGACAAACTATGCTTGAGTCCTTTGAATTGCAGTAAAATATGCAGATAACGAAAGCCAGAATTC